ATAAGACAAGGTTAAGTGCTGGAAGGGGATAGCTGTGGTCTCAGACACTCAGGAAAGGCCTCAGCGGCTGGATCACAGGCCACCCCGCCACCCTGCCACCCCATGGATGCAGCCAGAGGCCACTTGGCCCTGTGTGTGCCCACTTGGTGGCTGGCCGGGGGACAGGCTGGGTGACTCAGGGGCTGGGGGGGTTAGGAAGGGAGGCCTATTTGCCCTTCTGGTTCATGAACACACGGAACTACAGTGAACAAACTCATCCACAACCTGAATTGCCCCGGTCTAAAGCTTACTTTGAGTTCATTTGGTGTGCAATATGCGATCTTTTTTTAAAAAAATGAAGAAACAAACATTATCTATTGCACAGAGCTATTTTTTTACACAGTCATCTATTTCAGTACTTTCTGTTTAAAGCAAACTACAAAAAAAAAAAAAAGAAAAAAAAAAAAAACAACAAAAGAAGAAAAAGGGGGGTGGGGAAGGAATTATAAAAACAAGAGCAGCCCCGTGCCACTTCGATATGTCTTGCGGGATGGTGTCTTGTTTTTGCCGACGGAAGTCCCAACACTTCCACACTGTGCTTCTGATTCTGTTCCCTAGGGACAGAGCCGTGACTTTGGGTTTTAAGGCACCTTTCCTTTCTGATCACAGAAAGCTTGATACATAACATACAACATATATATATATATATATATATTTTGTGATAGAAATTAAAAGCCCAAACACTACAGAAGTTACAGTAACGCAGACTAGACTTCTTAACACCATGAGGAAAATGTGTCCCATGAAAAAGCAACACAGAGGCATTTTGAAGGGTTGAACAACCGGGATGGGGGTGGGGGTGGGGAAGAGCACATGTATACATAGCCTAATGTCTTTCTCTCATTAGCCTTTTTTTTTTTTAAATTCCAGGATTCTTCGCCTACAATGCTGAACTTTTAAAAAGTTAGCATTTCAGAGGAGACCAGGCGCTCTGGAAATGTCATGTTAAAGCTAAATTGTCACTTCGTCCAAAAGTGAGAAGTCCAGATGTCATGAGGAAGGATGTGGACATGGATCATTGCAGGGGAGGTGGCAGGGGAGGGAGTGGGCGAGGCGTGGCTGGAAGGGGCAGTTTCTGAAACAGGGTAGAAATACATTTTTTTTTCCTTCTACTTCCCTGACAAGGTGCAGAAGCTGCTGGGAACTCTGAGGCAGGACTCACTTCATGATCTGCACACCACTTTTTTTTTTTCCTGCCTTGACTGACCCTAAGGGTCTTGACCTTAGCTTTCAGTCCATCCATCTCTAAGGCTTTCACAGACTGGATCTTTTTGGATCTGAACTTGGGAACTTGTTTTTCCTGGTGGTTTTCATCTACACAAAGGCAAAACAGACAGGAATGGAAATAATATTGTCAAACTGGACCTTTCTTTTAGTATGCGGTCCACTGGGAGATGCTGCTGTCATGTTAAAGTGTCTCTCAGGCCACTGCCTAGCCACATGGAGCACAAGCCTTGCCCTTGGTGGCCATGAAAGGCGTCCTTAAAGACATCAAGGCCCCAGTGAGACTGCAGCAGTGGCACTGTGTGTGTGTATGTGTGTGTTCTAGAAGTGAGCTCTTCTTGGTGAAGGAAACAAACCCTCAGGTCCCACTTTCTACCGGGAGAAGACTTTGGCCACTAGATGTGGGGAACCATTATTTCCCCAGCAGCCCTGGGAGTACCTTCAGCACTGAACAAGAACTGATAAATTTTGGGAAATCAAAACTGGGTATGCAGGCTGGAGTAGAAAGCCATATATCCTTCCCTGCCCTGGAGAGGTTGGGCAAGAGCCCACAGTGACATCAAAGTCACCATCCCAGTGCCAGAGCCAAGAGAGGCACACAACAGCTGTGCAGGAATGCACGGAAAACAAAGGCAGATCAAAGACAAGGCCCTCTGAGGCCTCAGACCACCCTGCCTCTGAAGAGAACAGCTGCTGGAACTCCAGTGACAGGTGGAAGCCAAAGAAAAACCCATGTGTTCCGCAGAGTCCAGCTGCCCGTCCACACCATGCTCACAGAAGGCAAAGCAAAAAGCCGGTTCACCAGGCTGAGATGCCTGTGTCTGTCATGCTGGTAGCATTTCGCCCTCCAGTTCACATGCCTCCCAGTTCTGAGGGGGTGACATCAAGAGGGGAGCACAGGTTAGTGAGGTAGAAGGGGGCAAATGAGGAGTGTGAAGATGAGGGGGACACTGAGGAAGGGGCAGGGAGGAGCATTTCACAGCGGGAACCAAACTGCCACCCTAAAGTTACCACAGTCAAGAACTCCTGTTTTTCTGCGTGGCTGCTCACGGCCTCCAAAGGTGGGCCTGTCACATATAGCAGGTCGAAGTGGCCACCTCCACTTCACTTTGTGCTAACCCTAGAGGGGCATGTGTAGAGTCCCCCAGCTCCTCTGCTGTTTTCTAGCTAGATCTAAAATCATAGGAATGAAAAAGATTGCATAGAATGTTCCAGAATTCACTGATCCTCTCTGTGTAAAAGGACACTGGTTCTAGAAAAGCAAAGAAACCCTGTCTGACCGTAGCGAGACGGGCACCTGCCTGTGACTACACTCTCTGGGAACTTTGGTTCGAACCTCTGGGGGGCCACTGTTGCATGATCTTGGCAGGAAGTCGATGGCCAGAGCTTTGGCTCTGGACTGGCTAGGACCTGCACAACTGACCTTGACCCTGGCTGAGGGGGCAGACGGGTAGCAGTCTGGAATTGGCAACTGGAAGGACTCTCTTGAACTCAGAGGAATGCACCCCAAAGCCCTGTGGACTCTGTGAATAGACTGACAACCAGACCTGGCCGTCTACCTTTGACAGAGTAGTATTTAAGTGGGAAGAAGAGAGAGCTGTGGACAGCAAGGAAGCATGTCCCAGGGAAGTTGAGAGCTGTAATCTGTGGCGTGCATTACTTTCACAGAGAGGCATGCCTGGATAGAGGCTCTTCAAGCCCGCATACCAGGGCATCTGCCCCTATGCTGCTCCAGGATGTGACCACAAGCCACCTCATGCTGTGATGTTCTTAGGCAATGTGGCTGTGACAAAGTTTTCTAAAGAGAGGTCTGGTGGACCGAGGTGAGGGAGCCAGGCCGGGGGGGGGGTAAGTGAGGGGCAGGGGCCTGAGCCAAAATCCACACACCTGTCACCTTGCATACCACAAGGGGACTTGGGCAGGAGGCTGGACACTTGACTTTATGCTGGGCCTCCACTTAGCCAGCTGAGTAACAGCAGAAAGTTAGTTAGGAATTTGAGTGCGGTCTCAAATGAACAAAAAGAAGCCATTTTAAATGGTATAATGGAGTTTATAATTGTTAGTGTTTGATATGGAATCATTTCCCCCCCGGGGCGGGGGGGAGGGAGGTACACAACTTTTTAAGCTGATAGAGCTTAGGGAGGAAGAAGAGGAAGAGGAGGAGGAGGAGGAGGAGGAGGAGGAGGAGGGGAGGGCAGGCTCCCTGTGGGGGCTACTGCTTGGTTCACCAGCCAGCAAAGGTCACCACGTGAGAGGGCGCTGTTCAAGGCACTTGAATATTGCTTATCAAGATGAAAGATGAACCCTTAGACTCAAACTGAGGGCCTTCTCCCCCCATGAGGAGGGGGTGTGTCTTCCCCCTCCTCAGGACAGGATTTTGTGTTATTTTGTGGCAGCTCTTAGAAGTATTATAGACAGTGCTAGCTTAAACCAAAAGATCACAGTTGTGATCTCAGTTAAAAAAAAAAAATAGAAAACCAAACCAAACCAAACCAAAACAAAAACAACCCCACAGGACTGGAAGCAAAACCTGACCAAGTAGATTGTATTGAGCATTCAGATCTAAGTCTGGCAGAGAAGACAGAACCGGAAATCAACAGTGACCTAGCTCAAAACTTAAGAAACAAACCCCCCAAACGACTAAGTTGCTTGCTGATTAATTAACTAATCAATCAACATGGCTGATTCAGACTGTCACCATTTGGCCATTGAGGATGGGCAGATCTAGACTTTTCGATTTCAATAGGATTTAACACCTTGGTTAAATAACAGTCAAAGCCTTTAAAACACACTAGCCTCACAGGTCCTGCTAACTCCCTGCTTCCTGTTGTCATGACAACGAGGTTTTTAGCTTCATCACACATGGTGACAAAGTCCCCTGGAGGTTTCTGTGGCAAGGATACCACAGTACCATCAGCGGCTCTGCCCCCTCACTGTCCTTAGGGTCCCTGGTGTGAACCTGCTTTTCTTAGCTAAGCCCCTGCCATGGAGCCAGATGTTAACTACCCACTTCCCCTTGGGCTCCTCCGTCCTCCGCTGTTGAATTCTCTTCTCAGTGAACCAGATTTCAAGTGCAGAAATGACACATCCATCCAAGGACAAACAAAGGGCCTGCCTCCCAGCCTCCTAGAGCCTTTGAAGACTTCTCATTCATGAAAAGTTATTGTCTTTTTAGTGTAGTGACTCTTTAAAAGTTGTGACAACTCCAACTTGAGTCTGCAGTTGCAGGTGAAAGGACTGTAAATGAAATACGTAATTTCTAAAACATCATGCAAGAAATGTGATTTCACATCTTACAGTCAAAGTCCTACAAGGTAAGTAATAACAAGCACACCGAGGTGTAACAGCGGGAGCATAGCTTGAAAATTAGAACTCCCTCCCACCCCCCAAAAATCAAAAAAAAAAAAAAAAAAGTAATATTAATTAAACTTAAGAAATAATGAATGCACCATTAAAATGTCATCCAAAGATGTTGACCTAAGACAAAAAGTTTCAATGATACACAATATGGTCAAAAAGTTTTCAATCAGTAATATACAGTATGACAACTACAATTTGTAAATTATAACCCAATACTGCCGGCAGTCTATCCCTCTAAAGAATACTTGCCCCCTTCCATCCCTTCCTAACAATCAGATAATAAAATACAGCACCTATAAATAAGCAAAAAAAAAAAAAAAAAAAAAAAAAATATATATATATATATATACCGAAATCATCTATTGTTAGTTTAAAGAAATGGCCGTAAAGGAGTCTAAATTAGCAAACTTGTAGAAGCCATAACTGATAAACCAGCTTATTGAAAAAGGTGGCAGTAATGCACTGTATGTGTGCACAGGTACTTAGGAAAATACACAGACGTATAAAATTGCACACACGCACGCCTGCACGCACACTCTCACCCACCTCTATTACTCATGCACACACACATAGACAACGGGAGGAATCAGAGACAAGTTAGACTCTTGATTTGTACTTAGACTGCCCTAAACTGTGCATAAAAGAACTTTCCAAGAGGAGAAATGAAGAGAATGAAGGGCCCAAATGGTCTGGTTCGGAAGGGAGGAGCGTCAACATTTTGGTGTGAGCGGAGCCCAGACTGCCACGTTCTCTCTTCTGCAGGGGAAAGAAGCTTCCCACGAGTTCGACGGGGTCATCAGTGCTGTGGTGGGAAGAGGAGGGGACAGAGAGAGTGCGTGCATGTATGCCAGCCCTGCCCAGGCCCAGGGAGCATCTTCCCCTGGGGAGTGGGGGTGGGGAGGCTCAGTCCATCGGGCGCCCGGGAGAGTGGTGTGAGGTGAGGTGCTTTCTGTGTGCCAAGGAAAGGTGTGCCTGGCCCCAGGACTGCCTGCTGCGACCTTGCCGGCCTACACTTTCCCTTCTTCTCAATGCTCGTACAGTGCGCAGATGCGCTGACACAGACGTAGACACCATAAATTAAAACAAAAACTGAACAGGTACATGCTACAGTTCTAACTTGTCTCCGAAACCTCCAAGACATGAGGTCTGGTCAGCGTGCTCTACGGTTAGAGGTTAAAAAGCAGATTATAAAATGCCTAGATTCGGATCTTTTCTTTCTTTTTTTTTTTTTTTTTTTTTTGTCCTGATTTGGCCTAGAATGGAGTGTATTAAACAGACTCTGGTCAGCAAAAGCCCAGAGTCAGTTAAAGCTATGGATCGATGTGTACTACGTCAGGATTCTATTCACGTACAGGAAAAACACTACCTCAGCTACCACAAAATCAGATATCTTCCTGATGTGACTTTTTCTTTTTTTGTTAAAAAATATGTGGAGTTAAATGTGTTTTATTTTTTAATTCAAAGTTTCAAACGAGAAGATTCTTTTCTTGAAAATATTTAGGAATCCAAACTAGTGTGTTTAGAGTCGGTTTGACTGTGCAATCTCTTAGTGGCAACTGAACACCTACAAAAAACTTTCTTTTTTAATTATTTTTTCTGAAAAATCCCCTCCCCCCCTTTTTTTCCTGGTTTAAGAAGATAATAGTGTATTATTATCGCTCTGAAGCCATTAGATGGCAGATAAAAAGCCCCCTTTTAATATGTGGGTTTGATTTTTTTTTTTTAAGCCCACACCAAAGAGGAGGGCGCAAGGCAAAGCTGTAAAGAGTTATTCCAGAACTGTGGAAATCACTTTAGGGCAATAAAAAAAACACTTGAGGGTACAAAAAAAGCTCGACTACGCATTTCCGTTTTCTTCCTTGAAAACACGACATAGATTGGGCTTAATGCTCCTTTGTTTTCTATATGCACCTTGGCCTATGGCGATTTTGCCCTGTGGCCCGCAGGGCGGTTAAGTGCGCGCAAACCCGTCCAGGCCGAGCCGCCCTCCGCCCAGCCCGGTGTGGGGGAGGCCGAGGCCGTGGCCAAGGCCGTGACCTTGGCCGTGACCTTGGCCTCAGAACTCCCATTCGATGGGCTCCTCCCGGCTGGCGGCCTTCTCCAGGCGGTGGATGATGCTGTTCAAGTTGGCGGCCTTCTTCTTGCGCACCGGGTTGTCCCGCGAGTCCCGGGCGCCGGCCGCCTCGGGCAGGCCGAAGAGGCTCTGCAGCGAGCTGGGCCTGCGCGTGGCGGCCATGGCGGCCGTGGCGGCGGGCGCGCTGGTGCTTGGCAAGGCGGCCCGGGGCTCGGCGCCGGGGCCCGCGGGCGCGGTGGCGGCTGAGGTAGCGGCGTCCTCCCCGGCGGCGGCGGCCGAGGGCGCGGGCGCGGCGGGGCTTGGCACGGGCGCCGGGCGGTCGGCGGGGCCCTCGGGCGGCGGCGGCCGTGACCGGCCCGCGTCCTCGGTGTCGGCGTCGCCGTCGTCCGGGCCCGGGGTCCCCGAGGGCGGCGGCGCCCTGTCGGCCTCCTGGCGCTCCCGCTCGGCGGGCCCTCCCTGAGACTTGCGGCGGCCGCGGGGCCGCCCGGCTCCTCGTCCGCCGCCTCCACGCCGTCGCAGCTGTCGCCCTCCGAGCTGGGCGCGGCGCGGCCGCTGCGGGCCGATGGCGAGTCGCTGGCGCTGGCCTGGCCCTGGCTGCCGGCCTGAATCTCCTCGATGAACAGTTCTCTGCGGATCCGAGACCTGCGGGGACAAGAGGCAGCGACCTGAGACCCGCCGGCCTGCCCGGGTCCACCCCACTCGGCCTCCACCTGTCATCTAGCGCCGCGCTTGGCATCTGGTGACACAGATGGCCGTTTTAACAAATGACACTGCATGGTCACTAGTGCCTCGTGTCAGGCCTTCTGTCTAAAGTGCAAATCTCGCTGGGCGTTGGTGGCTCAGGCCTGTAATCCTAGCTACTAGGGAGGCTGAGATGGGGAGGATCGAAGTTCCAGGTCAGCCCCGGGCAAATCGTTCTCCAGACCCCATGTCCAAAGTAACCAGAGCAAAAAGTGGACTAGAGGCATGGCTCAAGTCTTAGAGTACCTGCTTTGCAAGCAGCTCAAGGAGGTCAAACCCTGGTCCCAGGAAAATCAAAACCAACCCAAAACAAAACAACAAACCCCAAAAGGAAAACAAGTGCAAATCTTTCACCTCCACCTCTGGGCCACCAGTGCTCAAGGGGCTTCTAGCAGTTCCACAAAATTGTGGGATTTGAACTCAGGGCCTCAAGGGCAGGAAAGACACCAAATACAACAAGCAAGGTTTTTTTTTGAGACAGGATCTCAATATGTAGCCTAGGGTGGCCTCCTCTCTCAGCCTCCTGATTGCTGGTATTACAGGCATGTACCACCACTCCTGGCTTTTAAGTTTTAGCCCAGCCTCTAGTGCAAGATGTGCTCTAGTACTTTGCTGACACCCTGCTAACTAGAGCAGTCTGGGAGAGCACTCTCCCTTTTAGAAAGGAGTTGACCATCAAGGGCCCTGTTCTCCCAAGTTTTGGAGGCCACAGCAGCACCATGAAAAGGGCTCCTGCTAAGTCCCTCCCACATCAGGCCAGGGTCCCACAGAAGCTAGGCCAGCAAAGCCCTGGGGGAGGCAGGCCTCAGAAGACTTTCTGGAGTCCTTGTGACTTTTGAGCACCTGCTGTTGTAAATCGGGTCCTGAGCTGGCTGCCTGAATGAGGAGCCAGAGGCTGGTTGTGGCTTGGTCCAGGACGTCAGAACCCTGGGGCACTTGTTAACCTGTTCCATAGTTACTTGCTTCCTGCATGGTGAGCTCAGAACCTTGTCCTGAAGATTTCTGAGCTCTGGTGCAGAAAGGTGGGGTTCTGAGAAGCCCCCTGCAAACCTGGGAAAGGGAGATTCGGTGACCCCCTGGCACTGGGCTGGGAGGGAGGCCCTATTGATTGGCAGCGAGGATGCAGCCTGGGGGAGGGAGGACCTAATCCTAACCCACACAGTCAGGAGAACTAGGGCAAATGTTTGGTGCTAGCCAGGTAACAAACAGGCTAGGCATTAAGGTGCCAGGTAAACCCAGATGAGATATCTGGCTTTGTGACTCATTAGCTGTCCAACTTGGACAAGCTGATGTGACATTTTGAGCTTAGTTTTCTTATCCTTGAGGGATGTGGGGAAGATTAAAGAAATATTAAATGTATGACACTGAGCACAAAGTAGACAAGAATAAGTCACTGTTCTTGCAGTGCCTCCTCCCCCTTTTTTTGGTGTACTGGGAATTAAACTCAGGGCCTCCTGCTTGTCTAACAAGTACTCTACCACTTAAACCTCACTTTTTAGTTTGTTTTCAGTTAGGGTCTCGCCCTTTTCCTTGGCTGGCCTTGGATGGTGTGGTCCTCTCCTCTGTGCCTCCCTAGGAGATGGGAGCACTGGCATATATCCCCACATCCAGCTTGTTTGCTGAGATGAGGTCTTGCTAACTTTTTGTCTGGAATGGCCTTGAACTGAGATCCCTCTATCTTTGCACCCAGATTACAAGCACGTCTACCATGCCTGGCTTTGTAGTGCCTTCTCCCTCCTCCCCAACACAGAACCTACAGTGCCTTTTATAACAAGAAAATGCCTGCTCTGAGCACTAAGCTGGCGGTGAGAGGACTGGGGGTGGAGGGATACACCAGGCTGGGGACACGAGGCCTGGGCTTCCACGCTTGTCACCTTGGTTGATGCTTGGGGCCCTTCTCTGTAAGACTGGGTGAGTGGTACTGCACTTGACTGCAGGCTGGAGGACTTAATGACATCTCATTATGGAGCTAGAAAACTTGTTGCCGAGTAGCTGGCATGCAAGATGTGCTTAACAGATGGGCGCCTAAGCCTCCAAGCCTGGGCTTGTCTCTGGCGTCATGACGAGTATCATCTCCAGCAGGGGCTGTGGTTTTAATCAACAGGATCTCTCTAGGCAGCATAGGCCGGTCTGAAATGCACAATTCTGCTGCCTCAGCCTCCTGAATGCCGGGATTACAGGTATGCACCACCATACCCCACCTTTAAAAACTTTAATTTAACTAACTTATTTCTTTGGGTGCTGGGGTCTACCACTGAGCTACACTCCCAGCCCATGTTCTGGTTTGCAGATGGGCTCACAGGCTCCACAGCTTTCTATGGCTCAGTGGAGTTGCCCCTCGGTGGACCCGTTTTTCCAGGAGGAGGCCAAGGTCCTGAGATACTTCTGATTCCCTCAGGATAGAGGACAAGAACAAGGACGTAAAGCTTTATTTTTCTGTTGAGTGCAAATGGATCCCAAGCCTCACTCCTTGAGGGCTTGGAGGGCAGTGCAGAGAAAATAAAATCCACTTTTCCTTAACCTCTGTGAAAAGAAGGTAAAAGCTACTTTCTCCTTTAAGAAACAGCTTGTTTGGTGGCTGGGTGCCGGTCCTTGTAGAAGTCTGGGTGAGCTATGCCACACAGGAAGGTCGGCACTGAGAGAATTTAGTGGAAGTCATAACGTCAGCGAGAGAGAGCTTTGCTTTACCTGCTGGGTGATGTTGACAAGTGACTTCAACTCTGAACTGTAGGCCAGTTCTTTTCTGGGGGGAGGGAGGACACTGGAATGGAACCCAGGGCCTTGTTCGTGCCAGGCAAGTGCCCTGTCCCTAAGCTATACTTGAGCCTATGTCACTTGTGAGTGACTGGGTGCTTGTTTCTTGGTCACTCTGAGGAAGAATCAAATTTGCCTCTAAATTAGTCTTTCTTTCATGTCACCCCTTCGGGACAGCCTCTGTTCCCAAACTCATCTGTGCTACCCTTCCTTCTCTGACATGCCCAGTGGCTTCATTGTAGGTCATGTTTAAAAGTGGGTCTCCCTTCCCCAGGTGTTTTTTTTTGGTACTGGGGTTTAAACTCAGGGCCTACACCTTGAGCCATTCCATCAGCCCTTTTTTTGTGAAGAGTTTCTTTGAGATAGGGTCTTGCAAACTATTTGCTCAGGCTGCCCCCTGAGTAGCTGGGATTACAGTGTGAGCCACCGGCGCCTGGCCTCCCTCCCCTTCTTGCCTGGGGTGGAGAGCTGAATTTGCTTGTACTAAATGCACCAAACAGGCATCCCCACAGTGACTGGTGGGCCACCGTATCAAGGGCATTACTTGGCTGTCAGAAGCCAGAAGACAAGGGACAGCCTCCTTCTGTGGACAGGGAACTCTATAAGCCTAATTGCCAGCCTCCCTCTGCCTGTTCCCACCTTACTGGAGGGAGCCACCATGGCTGTGGGTGCATCCCACCTGTCCTGGAGGGAGTCAGGAGGCCTGGCTGGGGTCAGTGCTGCCTCAGTGGAGCTCAGGCAGTAGGTTTTCAGCTCACACACTGAGCTGCCATTTCCTAACTCAGCCTTTATTGGCAATAGGGTGTGGCTTGGTTGTCAACATCTTTTCTCTCTCTCTTTTTTTTTTGTGGTACTGGGATTTGAACTCGGCCTACACCTTGAGCCACTCCACCAGCCCTTTTTTGTGATGGGTTTTTTCGAGATAGGGTCTTGGGAACTATTTGCCTGGACTGGCTTTGAATGGTGATCCTCCTGATCTCTGCCTCCTGAGTAGCTGGGGGATTATAGGTGTGAGCCACGGTGCCGGGCAGTCTTAATGCTTCATCCAGAACCTGGGCAGTTTATCCCATGTGTGTGCACGATTGCTGTGGTGTAGCCAGGAGCACTGACTCCAGCTTTATTGAGCCCGAGAGAAAATGATGCTCGGATGAGAACAAGCAACGGAAATGGTCCCTTCACGGCATTAATTTGGGGATTTCCATCGGTGCTCCTGGGATTCCTGGTTGCAACAGGGAGTCTGGTTACAGCTGAGTTACCAAGTCAAGAGTCCTTCACTGGATGTCCATGATCGCTTCCAAACCTTTCATCCCAGTCTACAGTGGAGAGCACTACACCCTTTGCAGGCTCTCTACAGTTTATATTTCTTTCACCATGAAGATAACACTGTCCCTCCCTGGTGCAGCTGTGGGGAAGAGCTGGAATGTTGATTCAAACACTTAACCTAGATCTACCAGATGTGCAATAAATCTTCACTAACACATGAACTTTCCCACAAGAAAGGCTCTGAACTATGGAATTACAAAACTAATCAAATTAATTTAGAAAATACTACTTCATAAAAGACTCTGGGAAAGTGTCACAGATCATTCACGGGACCACACGTGCCTATTTCCCCCTTTATCACATGAGATAGCCGAGAGTGACTTTTCTCTTCTGGTCATGGCTAATTTCCTGACAATGACTGGAAGGGATGTAGCTTTCTGTCCCTGGAGTTAAAAACCCGAATTACAATTAGGGGATGGGTGTGGTGGCACTGGCGAGAGGATTATAGTTTGAGGACAGCCAGGGCAAAAAAGTTAGCAAGACACTATCTCAAAAAACTGGTGGTGAAACAAGCCACCCAGGAGGCAGAGGTAGGAGGATCAGGGGCTGAGGCCAGCCAGGGCAAAAGCATGAGGCCCTATTTAGAAAAAAAACTAAAGCAAAAAGGGTTGGGGGCATGGTTCAACTGGTAGAGAGCCTACCTAGCAAGTGTGAGGCCCTGAGTTCAAACCCCAGTGCCACCTAAACCAAAACCAACCAAAGAAACAAATAAACTCCAACTAACTGACCACAGCACGAGTCCTCAGTTATGCAAGGGTGGGGACCAAGTCCAGAGCGTTGCTGCATGGTGGGAATGGCTGCTCTCCTGCAGGTGGCTCTGGGGGCTCCCTGACAGCAGAGGCTGGGGTGGCAGGGCCTACCTGTAGTTGTGGAACCAGTTGATGACGGTGCTGGTCTTCAAGTTGAGCTGGGTGGCAAGTTCCTCGATGGTTTTGGGGGATGGGTATGGCTTCTGCTGATAGGCTCGCTTCAGAGCTTCCTTCTCCTCAGGGGCCAGCACCACACGGGGTTTCTTCAGCTGGTGTTGCGGCTGGGGACTGGCACCCTGGCTGTAGTCCACGCCCACGGAGGGGGGCTCGCAGGGCTGGCTGTCGCTGACTGAGCTGTGCCGTCGTTTCATGTAGGCTGTGGGGGAAGAGATGGTAGGTGAAGTTGAGGCCTGCTGTGAAAGTAGCCGAGAGCCTGGGCTCAAAACCCTGCGCTAGGATCACACAGTCCCCAGCACACATACACTGATGTCCTGTGGGGTCCCCAGCTGTCTCTGTACAACTGGACAGTTTAGTGGGGGCTGCAGGGAAGAATCAAGATGAATGACCATAGTGGAGTGTGACACAGTAACGGTTCTGAGGGAGCTCGCTGGATGTGGCCTGGGACGGGGCCTAAGGAGGCTTCCCAGGAAACACAGGCAAGGAGGCAGACAATGAAGAGGGCAGGAGACTGTTTAGAAAGGAGAAATACAGCACTAAAGAGGCAGAGGCAGGAGGATCGTGAGTCCCAGGCCAGCCTGGGCTACATAGGGAGACCCTGTCTCAAAAACCAAAAATCTCCCCACAAAAACAAAACAAAGCGGAAAGTGAAAACAGTGTATAAACAGCACACACAGAGGTGGCGCTGGAAGGGGTGTCCTATGTGAAGTTGGAGGATGGGCAGAGCCACAAATTTGATATCAGCTGTGACAGCAATAAGCAGTAATGAAAAGATTTTAACCAAAGACCTCTGAATATTGATTTGAGCCACGGTGACAGGAATTGGGGAACCATGAGAATAGAAACTGTAGTGGAAGCCAATGTCACCAATGAGAAGGACAGGGGTCAAAATGTGGCCCTGGCAGACACCATCCACAAAGGATGCTTCCAGGAAGAAGCCACGAATGGCACAGAGGGACGGGGGAGAGCCAGGGACGCCAGGGACAGAGGCTTCACAAAAGGGATGAGGCAACCTCAGGGGTAGGGACGGTCAACAGTGTCAACTGCCAGGAATGTTCTAGGATGTCCTTTGGATTTGGTGACTGGGGGACAACCAGGGGTGTGGAGGATGTGGTGGGCAGCTGAATGGTGAATGGGAGGGAGGAAGACTGGGGATGGCCTGAGTTACTCTGTCATGAAGCCAGGCTGGTGTCGCTTCTCCAGGGGAGACCAGAGCCGGGGGGTGGTGGTGTTTAAAGATAAGAGTGAGCTGGGTGCCGGTGGCTCACGCCTGTAATCCTAGCTAATCAAGGAGGCAGTGATCAGGAGGGTCATGGTTCCAAGCCAGTCTGGTCAAATAGTTCTCAAGACCCTATTATCTCAAAAATACCCATCACAAAAAAGGGCTGGGTGGAGTGGCTTAAGGTGTACGCCCTGAGTTCAAACCCCAGTATGGCAAAAATAAATAAATAAATAAAGATAAGAGTGAGCAGACGACATCTCTGAGTTGCAGGGAAAGAGGTCGGGGGAGAGAGCTGGTGATACCTGTGAGCACCCTGGCTGCAGGGATGAACTGCAGATGGGTCCTGAGCCAGGGAGGGAGGAAGGGTGGAGACACAGAGGGGTTGCAGGGATTGTGGGAAGCAGGAAGGCCGGGGCAAGGGGATCTGAGGAGGGAGAGGGAAGAGGTAAGGGAAAGGGAGTGGGACCGAGAGGCCTGGCCAGGCTGGGGAGCAGTACTGGGGACCCCATGGAAGGTGGCAGCAACAAGAGGAGGAGACCCAGGCTCAGGCAGGTGTGGGAGGCTCTCCAGAATTACCCAGAAGCCCAGGGGGATGTCTGGGATGCTCCATGCGGGAGTGGGAGGAGCATGATAGCCAGAGAGGATGAGAGGTGGCTATGGGGGAAGGAAATTCAGGATGCAGGGGTAGACTGGAAGGCGGGGGGCAGGGGAGGGGCTGTGAGAGTCAGGGCCACTGAGAGCCCAGGTAAGGTGGAGTGAAGAGGGAAAAGCTGGTCAGATGGTAAGGGGGGCCAGGCACCCCCTGGAGGTTGGAGAAGTTTGGAGTGGCAAGAAAGCTGGATGGCTGAGTGCTAAGGAGGTCAAGATGCTCGATGCTAGGGTGGGGCTGGTGGTAGCAGTAACATCCCCAGGCTGGGGCAGGGGACCTCAAGTCACCGGCTTGAGAAAAGGCAGAGAGTGAGCAGAGGGCTGGATGATGAGGATGGGACAGGGCCGGAAAGTCAAGCTGCTTGAGCCAGCTTTGAGGCTGAGGGCAGTGTGGGCGGGGTGCCCAGGGGAAGAAGAGGTCAGAGTAGGCCTAGGGCTTGGGGGAGATGGGGCTTGCCTGGAGGGGCAGAGCAGCGGGGAAGGGGAGGAGGACCTAGGTTTCCCCTCTGGAGCCAGCCAGGGTGGAGACCAGTGCCCACCCACTGCCTATGGACCTGTCCAGGTGGATGGATGGCAAAAATAAAAAGAGCGAAGAGGGGATGCTGGAACTGAGGTTCTGGATGGCTGTGTCACTCGGTCACAGCCAACTGTGCTTTGACTTAGAAACCACTCTGAGGGGGGGGCTCGGAAGCACAGCTTGCCTAGCACGCCCCAGCGCGTGCACACACCTGTGATCCCAGCACTTGAAGGCAGAGGCAGGAGGATCACAAGTTCAAGGCCAGTGTGGGCTGCACAGCAATGCCTTGTCTCCAAAAACAAAGCCCAGAGAACAAAACTCACTCTGACTGCTCCTGTAAAGGAACTGTCCACGCTCATCTTTCTAGCGGACTAAGTTTGGAACATGGTGCGGAATTCTTTACTGGGGCCTTGTGCGTACCACGCAAGCGCCTTACTCCTTCCCCAGTTCTTGTGAGTGACTGGTGCTAAGTGACACAGCATCAAGGTTAGCAGCACTAGCAGGTGCTAGGTCCTTTACTCCAGGTCTCACTGCCACCGGGACCTCTGTCACTGTTCACTGATGAGGAAACTGAAGGCTTCACTTGGCCTGATCTGAGGCCGCCCCGGCATATGGTGGCCTCCTGTGCAGCAGCGCTGTGTGAAGGGGCCTGGAGCCACAGCAAGCTAGCCAGCTGTACTTAGTGCGGACACTCGGGTCTGAAGCAAATGTCAAGGGAGAAGGCGGTCGATTGCTCGGGTCACCGCTGGGACAGCTGAGCGTGCGTGTGCATGTCTGCGAGCGCAGGTGTACGTGGGTACCACCCATACACGCATGGGCACAGCACGCTATAGATTACCTGCTGCGGCATTCTCAGTCTATGCCAGGCTGGGGACATATCCATTTATGTATTTACTTTTGGCAGTACTGTGGTTTGAAGTCAGGGTTTTGCGCTTGCTAGGCAGGCGCTCTGATGCTTCAGCCATGCTTCCAGGGTCCTTTTGGCTCTGGTTATCTTGGAGATAGGGTCTTGCTTTTTGCCCGGGCTGGCCTGGACTATGATCGTCCTACTCTATGCTTCTGGCTGGGATGACAGGTGTGCCACCACGCCCAGCTTTTTTCCACTGAGATGAGAGGTCTTGCAAACTTTTTGCATGGGCTGGTCTGAACCACAATCCTCCTGATCTCACCCTCCCACATAGTTTGGGAAGACAGGTGTACACGACCATGTCCAGCTATTTGGTTGAGATGGGATCTCTAATTTTTTGCCCTGGCTGACCTTGAACCTCGATCCTCCTGATCTCAGCCTCCCAAGGAGCTGCGATTACAGGCGTGAGCTACCAGTGCCCAGCTTCCATGATTTATTTTGAAAGAGTACAAATGAGCAACTCTGATTGGTTGAGCACTTGTTAGATGATATAGATGGGTCACCTGCCTGGTCACCTGCTGCAGCTGGTGACAGCGGCACTGGAGCCACTCTGGGAACCTGGGCTGTCAGGAAGCCCAGGAGTGTTGGGACAGTAACTCTTTTTCAACACAAGATGGTGCTCACAGCCTGTGCGGAAGGAAGCAGAGGCCCGGGAAGCCCAGCAGATCTCTGTGGGGGGACTACTCCTTTGCGCCAGGCACAACAGGGAATGGAGATACCAGGGTCCTTCTCTCTCCTGATGTCTGAAAGGTCGGGGGCTGCTTAGGAAGTGACTGGGGGCTCCACAGTGCTGAGAGCAGCCGCCCCAAGAGCACTGTGGTCAGTGCTGCTTTCAGATAGGGTATGACTTGAATATTGTACTGAAAACTGCTGACACTCAGCAACTGATGTAGTAGTATTTTTTTGCAGTATTAGGATTTGAACTTGGGACTTTGAGTTTGCACTTGGTAAGGGAGGTGCTCTGCCACTTGGGCCATATCTCTGGCCCATTTTACTGTGGTTATTTATTTATTTATTTTTGAATAGGGTCTTACTTTAGTCCCTGGGCTGCCAAGGATCTCTATCCCATTTATGCTTCCTGCTGTGGCTGGGATTACAGGGGCACACCACCACGCCCGGTTTATTTTTTTGTTGTTGAGACAGGATCTTGAGAACTTTTGCTCAGTGTGACCTGGAACCAGCTATCACCCTGTGCTGTGCCTCCAGGGCTGGGAGGTCTTCACATTCAGGCAGCCAGTCCCAAAAGCGACAAGTCTTCCCTCTGAGTTACTCCCAGCTGCTGACTGCATCCTCTGGCGCTGTGGTCAGGGTCAGCCTCAATGGGCATGCGAGTGGGGCCATACCTTTTTTCTCCATTCGCTTCATGTCCATCAGTTTCTCCACGTTGTTGGGGTCATTCAGCCACAGCTGCATGCGGACAAAGGGCTCCCGTCCCTTGAGGCTGAGCTTGTGCCAGGGCTTTGGGCGCGCGAGGAGGTCGGACACGGAGCCTTGTGTGAGCCCCAGGATGGTCTCCCCAAATAAGCGCTGACCTGGAGGAAGAGCAAACCCAGACATGGTCACTGATAGTCAGGACTCTGAGAGGACAAGCAAGTGTCAAGTTGAAACCAGACACGCAGATTCAATAGCCTGGAGTCTAGCCAGCGGGAGCCTGGCTTGGAACCAATCTTTGTAGAAACATTTTTCTTTCCTTTCTTGTGGTATTGGAGATTGAACCCAGGGCCTTGTGCATGACGAGTGAGCCCCAGCTGCAGCCCTGATATGCTTCATTTTTAATTTTTTTGGGAGCAGTACTGGGATTTGAACTCAGAGCCTTGTAACTGCTAGGCAGGCACTCTACCACTTGTGTCATATCCCAGCCCTTTTTTGCTTTGGTAATCTTTTGGATAGGGTCTTGTGTTTTTTTGCCTGGGGAGGGCTGGACCACGATCCTCCTATTTGTGCCTCCCACATAGCTGGGATTATAGACATGTACCACCATGCTTCACTGTCTTCAAACATTTCTTTGATGAGACTTCTAATAGCTCCACTGAGGAGGGGACTGCATTCCATGTACACATGACAAATGATGCTGCTCTTACAGAAGCCACCAGGTGCCAGAACTGGGCCTAGACACCACCTGCGATTATCTCTCAGAGACGGTTAAATCCCTAAACGCAGGCCTCTGCTTTTGTGATTAGCAAGGTTACAGGTCTGCCTGAGAGAACAGGGCACTTGATCCCAGGCCACAGCAGGAAAGAGAAGAGCTCCCAGATCTGGGTTTGAAAGGCAGGCTGATCCTGCGGCCTGCACTCAAAGAGGGTCAAACCCTTGCCAGGTCCCTTTCTTCTCCTGGGCAGGGGAGAGGCTTGCTGAGGCCGATCACAGGGAGCATGGGATGGAGGGCACAGGGTGCCACGTCTACACAGCTCGGCAGAGGCTTAAAAGAAAGGCTCGCTTTTCTGAGAGCCATTCACATTTAAAGCTACCCATCAAACACCCTGTCACTTGCATGACCTCACAGCAGAGCCTGTATGACTAGGACTTAGCAGGGGAGGTGGAGCTGTGATCAGAGAGGCCAGCGTCTGGTCCCACTGATCGCCCAGAACACGGAATCCCAGGTAGAGTGTGCCTCTTCCCCACCATGGCAGGCGGTCATGGAGGCGTAACGTCCTCCAGCTGTGACATCGACACACCCCACCTGGGCTCCCAGGGCAGGTCTAAGAGAAGACATGACTGTGCCTGGGCTGGCCTCAAACCTCAATCCTCCCGATCGCTGCCTCCTGAGTAGCTGGGATTACAGGTGTGACCACTGGTGTCTGGCAAGCCTTATTCTCGAGAAATTGTATTATTTTAGAGGTTTCCTGGATGTGTCTCCCCATCACTTCTGGGTCACAGTCATTTGAAAACAGCAGATAGCTCTAGAGTCCATCAAGTGAAATGTGCACACAAATGGATTCCCCGTGTAACTCAGGTTTGCTTCCAGGGACCCGCGATGGGCCTTTCTTTCCCTTGGGGTGTGGCCCTGGCCGCACGAAGCCTATGTCAACCGTCTCCAGCAAGATGGCAACTAGGGGGCAGTGCCAAGGAGGAGGCTCCAGTGTGTGCTGCCATCTCGAAGCTGCGACCTCTCGACCTGGCGTTGTGAAATGGGAATTTTCCCCAACTGACGCTCAATGTTTACATGGAAGGACGCTTTCTGTCGGAGTGGGCAGGCCTGCTTTCTTGGACTTGTGACAAGGCTGAGACGAAGGAGGGGATGACTCAAGTCTAGGAATCCCGCACGTTTCAATAACCGATGAGCATATGGGACTCGGGCCACGTTCTCGAATCAACGTTTACACTTCTGTGACTGAACTTAATGACAAATGCTCTCGGTTGATGCTACTTTTCCTTGAGCTCTGTTTTGCACATGCGCTGCAGGAATGGGGGTGGGCGTAGGCAGGTGGTCTGATCCCAGGCTGCAGGTCATTAGGTAGAATGTACAGAACTCAGCTACTTGCCTGTTTCCTCCCTTGGGAGACAGCAGCTACCCCCACAGGCCCCGTCCCCAAGGTCCTGGTTGGATTTCAGTCACTCTGTGGTGTTTAACACTGCTTCGCTGTGGCTCCAACCTGGGACTAAGGAGGACACAGGACACAGGAGTGGCTGCTCAGGGCAGCCTTATCCCACTAACACCACGCTGCAGCAGCTGAAATGCCCTGATATTCTTAGGACCACAGCTACTACCCAGCGGTGACACAAAGCCCCGTGAGCCACCTTGGGCAGAGCCTGGAGGCTGAGGCACGTGCTAGGCAGATGGCCTGGGACTCACACTGTGGGAGGGTGACATCTGTTCTGCAGGGTTGCTTTGTCCTGTGGAGGGCCTGGGGAATGGACATGGCTTTGCAAGGCAGTGAGAACAGCAGTAACAATAGTAGACGGTGACCAGCCACCAGGCAGGGGCTGGGAACTGCTGGGAATGGCATCATTACTCCAGCCTCACTGAGGGGCTTGCCCCACACAGGGAGGGAACGCTGGGGACAGCTCTCGCTCTCCTACAAAGCCATCCCACCTCTGGTGCCCACCATGGGTTGGGGGCTCTGCTGAGCATATCACAATACAGGTGCTCTGAGGTCTCTGTGGCCTCCTCTTCCAAGGGGTCCTGGGAAGGGAGGGGGTGCTGGGACAGACCCAGGTTTCTCATGAGTCCCTAGTGTCACAACTGCAGGATGTTTCAGGTTCTTTTTTTGTGCACTGGGGATGGAACCCAGGACTCACACATGCTAGGCAGGCCCTTTAACCACTGAGCTGTATCCCCAGGACTGTTTCTTTTCTCTTTTTTCTTGTGGTACTGGGGTTTGAACTTAGGGCCTTGCACTTGCTAGGCAGGCGCTGTACCACTGAGCCACGCTCCCAGCCCTTTTTGCTTCTGTATTTTTCATATAGGGTCTTGGGCTTTTTGCTTGGGGCTAGCCTCAGACTGTGATTGTACCTATGCTTCCTGTGTAGCTGGGATTACAGGCATGTACCACCATGCTCTGGTTTGTATGTTGAGATCAGGTCTCATTTACTGTTTGCCAAGGTGGCCTCAAATAGCAGTCCTTCTATCTCTGCCTCCTGAGTACCTGGGATTACTGATATGGGCCACCACATTCAGCTTATTTATTGAGATGGAGTCTTGACAACTTTTTGCCCAGGCTGGCTTCAAACCTTGATCCCCCTGACCTCTGCCTCCTGAGTAGCTGGGATTACAGGTGTGAGTCACGGCACCTGGACTGGACTGGGTTCTTATAAGTAGTCTGTAACCATTCAGACCCTTTGGCTGGCTCAGCCTTGGCTTTCACCCAAGGCCACAAACAGGAAATGACCTGACCTGAGACAGGGGACCTACCAAGGTTATTGTCCGTCAGCACCTCCTTGACTCTTTTGGTTATGCCGTAGGTGTCCAGCTCTGGAGACATGGCTACTAACTCTTGGATACTGAGGGCCGAGTGTCCGGAGAGAGGCAGTGGGGTTGTGGGCTGGGAGTCTGAGGCTGGCAGGTCGCTGGGTTCTGGGGCTTTGCTGTCCTTACTGGTGTCGATGGGTGGACAGGGCTGCTGGATCAACTCTGTCAAGCTCTTCACGGACTCACTGGAGCTCACTGGTGACTCAGGAGCGGGGCTGCAGCTGGCGGAGGTCTTTGGAGTGCTTTCTGAAATTAAAAACATGAAAACCGCTGTCTCTCACCGTGCATAGCGCCTTTTTTTCCCTCTAGGAAATGCTAATCAAACACTCTGTACCAGAAGGGTGTGGTGTGGTTGTCTACGAATTGTCATCCCTTGTTTTGTAGCTTTTTTTTTTTTTTAATTTTTGACTGAGAGTAACCTCTAATTTTCTGCATTAAAAGAACAAAAATAACATCAACAGGAAAAATAAAACCCTCGAGGTTTAAATAAAAGGGTTCTGAAAGCTTAATCTCAGGGCATTTTGCAGAAAATATGTTATAGTAATCACATGTCCTTGCTGCTACCTTTTCTTTTAATGAAACCCGTAATTCTAATAATTCAGAAGACCGCGGCTAGACTGTAATTTGCAGAATTATTCTGTCCAGAACAAAAAGAACAGACAGATCGTCTTGAGTGAGTGCTGCCTGTGATGTGTGGTCACCACAGTTACAATGACCCCTGAACTAAAGTCTCTGCTGCTAGTTCCCACGGTGGCCCAGGGAGACACAGGTCTCAGGGCCTTGCATTGGTTAGCTTTTTTTTTTTTTTTTTTTAATTAGGACTAACAGTGGCCTCCCCAGTGTTCAACTCTAGCAGAGGGGAACACAATGCCATGGGCGACACCAGAGATGACAGGGCTGGTGTGGCCCATCAGGCACCCATACGCTTCCTGCTTCAGGAGGGGTTGTGCAAAACTTTAGGGTCACACTTCAGGGCCCAATCAGAAGTGTCACCCTGTTTACCTATGAAACCTGACCAAAGAGGCTTGAGTCTGGGTTGAGGTGTCTGGAATAAAGCCTGGACATTTCCTAATTTCCAATGACAGAGAAAGGTCACCCAGGAGGAAGTGGTAAGTGGTCCTGTCCACAAGGTACTCTGCCTTCAGCCCAGCTCACTGTCCGGTGTAACTGCTCCCGACCTCAATGGAGGCTGACATGTGGTGAGGCCTCGCAGTGTGCACTAGAGGGGCCAGGCCAGGTGTGGTCATGTAGAAAGGTGACAGAGGGCTGACAGGTGACAGAGGACAGGGCCTTCTCTTGCTTGCTGCTCTAGCAGACCCTGGCAGGTCCCTCAGCCACAGTGGCACACGAGCATGTGCTCCAAAAGACTGTGATACAGGTAAAGAAGAAAGGCACCCCCGAGGACGAATTTATCTTCAGCTTAGTGTAACTGGAGTGTGGATTGCTCAGAGTCAGGCTAATACCCGACTCGGAACTCCAGAAGATGGAAAACAGGCCCCAAATACAAGGAGTATTTTCTAGGCATGCCTGGGAAGAGTGAAACCCTGAATAAAATAATCGCCATTCAACTTGATAAAATCTGTTTCTTGTCCTGAGCTGGTACCAAGTCCTGCCATCCCAGAAAGCAGTGTTTTCAGTCTGGAAAATCAGGTTATAGAACAACCAAACTAGTTTGTGAGCGATGTAAAAGAGAGGCATGCAAAAGGCAGAAATGGTCCGTATCAATCTTTAAGGCAATAAGAATCCTACAAATCAGATTTGTCCTCTCTGCTCACCCCCAGGTCACCAGACAACTGGATGTAAAACCTAGCAATGTTGTTTTTGTATCGGAAGCAGCAAAAGCAATTGTACTGGAAATTTGGTCCGAGTCACCCATGCGAGGACCTGATTCGGCAGGTCATCCATCTTGCTCCCCGTCTCCTGTCAAGGATGGCACAAATTCCCTACATGATAAACAGACTTCTTCCCAGGTTTGTGTCCTCTAACCCACAGCAAGGTCAAAATCATGGCTGCCGGGCTAATAAACCGCCCCTGGTTTTGTGCTGGGGGCCTGGTGGGCACATCTCACCGGGCACCTCGAGGGGGTGGAACCTTCTTCCTCCAGGTGCGCTTGGCAGGCCTCCGTGCCTATTGTAGCCATCGGAACCCCAGAGTGCTCACTGGAGGTGCTCGGCACTTATTACCAGAGTCTCCGAGCTGCCTGGGACTGCCCACAAAGGCAAAGACGCCTTCAACCAACCTGCCTGGTCCTGGACTGTGTGGAAGTGACACAGTGTGGCAAGCTGGCGTCTGAGCTGGCTTCCTGCGGGACAGTTTATTCACGGACAGATGGAGCATGCAGATGGTGCTGTGGCTTTGGGTCAGAGAAGGCAGAATTGTCCACGTTTTTTGGGCTAGGCTGGAGGTATGTGAATTTAACCCAGGAGCATGGCCCTGGAGAGAGGCCTTCAGAGAGCCACAGCCACATGGCATGACCCACGTGACAACACGCCTGTCAACAAGCACCCACGGCACAAGGAAGGGCAACTGATGGCCTCTGTGACTTTTTATTTTTTGAGACAGGGTCTCACTACGTAACCCAGGTTGGCTAGGAAGTCTCGATACTCCTGCCTCAGCCTCCTGAGTTTGGGGATTACAGGCATGCAACACCATGCCTGGCTCACCTGGGTGACTCTTTGATGGGACAAGAAATGTTTCAACAGAGAGATTTTATCACTTTATCTTTCCAGAAAGGTAGCTAGTGGAGCCCTCTGATTAAAGCAGTATTTTCTGAAACAATGAGGACTTGCTCTGCTCCAGGTAACTGAAAATAGTAATTATAAGAAGAAAAAGGAGATCTGAGCTGGGGGAGGGGCCACCTCCACTGGCTGGCTGTGTGACATCAGTGACTCAGGACTCCTTGTGTCACCTCATCCCCTCATCTGACAGCAGCAGACAGGATCATCACAAGGAATGAATCTGCCTCATGGCTGCTGCTGAATGAAGACAATATGAATTTGACTTTTTGGAGGCGCGGGGGTTTGAACTCAGGACCTCACGGTTGCTAGGCAAGTGCTCTACCACTTGGCTCACTCCACTGGCCCATTTTGCTTTTAGTTTTTCAGACAGTCTTGTGTTAACGTTGCCTAGGCTGGCTTCAAATTTGTGACTGGCCTGCCTCCACCTCTGAGTAGCTGGGCATGCCACCACACCCAGCCTGACGTTTTCTTTTTCAAATGACTTACTGAATTCTACTGAAATATACTTGTTTATATAGAGGTATATATTCAACATAAAATCTCTCATGACTTATTGCTGATTCATCCCTAGTGCCTAACACGTGACTGAGGTGCTGGTGACACTTGAGACCTACAGGGGCATTTAAATGACATCCTAGAAAAGCCAAGACAGAGCAGTTGTTGCTAAGGGTGAGGGGTAGGGGTTGCCTTCAAAGAGGCATGAGGGAATATCTGGGGGATGATGGAATTACCCCGTATCTTTTTTTAATAGTTGAGGTGGGGTCTGGCTTTATAGTACAGGCTGGCCTCAAACTCATGATCTTCCTAACTCAGCCTCCTGAGTGCAGGGATTACAGGCATGCACAACTGTGCCTGGCTTTTATTTTATATCTTGTTAAGATTCCTACGCTAATTAAAAAAAAAAAGACTGAATATTAAAACAGAACAACAAAACCCTCTATAGAACAGTTCCAATAGTGAAGAGTGAACTTTACTGCTTGCACATTTTCCTTCAACAAAAACTCACTTAGGAAAAAGGTGGAGAGAGGGAATGGAAGGCATGTCATTCTTTCGCCCTGAGGACACAGAGGAGGTAGGCCTGTCTCCTCCCCTGGGGGAAGATAGCCATGAAACAGGATGGAGCCCTAAAGGGCAATGGGTACTCAAACGATGGGAGCATATGTGGTGGGGGGTGTACTGGCCTAGGGATGACAGAGGCCTCCTGCTGGGGACTCTCATGCTGGAACAGGAACCAAAGGGATGGTGGGAAGGGAGGAGGGGGACGGTGGGAAGGGAGGCAGATGGCTCTGGGTACCTAGAAAGAATGCAGAAAGCCTTGGGGTGAGGAGGTGTCCGGTGGGTTTGAGGCATGAAGGCAGGGAGTAGCAAGAGACTGATCCCAGAGGCTGGGCTGTGCAAGGCCTTAGAATCGGCTACACACGGGATGTCTGTGTTTGGATCCTGGTGCCCGGGGGTGGCGGACAGGCTTACTGAGGATGGGGCTGCCTTTGTCCAGTATTGCTTTTCTTCTACACACTCACTGGGTACAGAACATTTATGGAGGGGTCACCTGAAATAGCCCTAAACAATGTCATCCCCAGGAAACAGAGGGACTCAAATCACGGCCTGTTCATACAATAGCATGCCACCACCAGCAGGAGAATGTAAGAGCCAAGCCACATGTACCAGTTCTGCGGGCACAGGGAGCTCGGAAAGCAGGCCAGGGCTCAGGTACAGAGCTTAAGGCTGGGATGTGGGTGGGAGGCTTGCTCACACTGTGTGTGTAAGACTATTTAGGCACAGGGTGAGGCTAAAATGTCACAGCAAACTCAAGACCCACAGTAGTTGTCTTCTAGAAGGAATGGAGTTAGCTTCCACTCTAGCTTTAATGTCTTATTTCTTTTCAAAGCATATAGAACTAAACCAGGCATGGTGGATCACACCTGTAAGCCCAGAACTCATGAGGCTGAGGAGGGAGGGTCCCAAGTTCCAGGCCAGCCTGTGCTACACGGGAAAGAGTTTATTTTTAAGTTATGCTCAAAAGGTAAGGTTGAAGTTGGGTGTGTCGGTGTTTGTTGCCTTACTTTACCACTTGCTTTTGGTCTTGTTTTTGTTTTGAGACAGGCTCACCATGTAGCCTAGGCTGGCCTTGAACTCACAATTCTCCTGCCTCCACCTCCTGAGTGCTGGGATTATAGTGCACACCATCACATCCAGCTTAGCATTTTATGTTTGAAATATTATAGACATTAAATAGTAAGAAGGAAAGTAAGTCACTGTCCCCCAATTCAGAGGAGGCATGCAGCAGGGGTGCCCTGGGGCAAAGAGGGAGATGACGTGAAGAAACTCTACTTTCAGCCATTTTTGAAGCTGACATTTATTGGGCACTTACTGTGTGCAGGCACTGTGCTAAGGCTCATGGGAGGGAATGCATGCATTCAGTCCTCTCAACCAGGGGCAGCCAGGAACGACTCATCTGTTCCCCATCCCAGAGAGCCATCTGCACAGCTGGGCTGTGCCCACGCCCTG